TTATAATCAGAGAGAACCTTAAACTTATTAACGCTCTGCAGCTCCACTCTCTATGCTTATAAGCAGCTGATAATAGCTAGTATCTCTTTATTATAGATAGGGTAGTTAAACTAGGTGGTATTCAGCTGCTGTAAGTAGTATGCTATTATATAATATCTTCTATGCTTATCTTCTTATAATAATACTCCTCTAAAGGTGAAGCCTAAGCAGTCAGCCTCAATATAGGTTGTACGCTTAGGGTTAAGTTAGTGTAGAACAGGCTTAGCTGCAAAGATCCTCTTAAGCTCCTAGAACGCTGCTTTTTGTTCTTTACCCCAGCAGAAGAGGACACCTTTCTTTATAAGAGCTATTAGGGGTCCAGCGATCTCTAAGTATGCTAGGATGAAGATTTAGTAGTAGTTTATAAATCTTAAGAAGCTTTAGACTCCCTTAACTATCCTTAGTGCAGCTTATTCCTTAATTGCTTTCAGTTTCTCAGGGTTATAAGAGATACCTACACCTATAGTGACAATAAACCCTAGGAATTTAACTATCTTAATAGAGAATATATACTTATAGGGGTCTAGATATAACCCTATAGCAGCAAGCTTATATAATACTAGCTTAACATTTACTTTATGGTCTTGCCTTAAGCTATTTAAGTAGATTAGGACGTCATCTATATATGCTGTTATAAAGCTGTCTAGGTACTCCTAAAGTATGCTATTAATATATTGTTAAAATGTAGCAGGGGCTCCTATAAGCCTAAAGGGAACAACAAGCCACTTAAATAGCCTATATCTTATTTAGAAGGCTGTCTTATACTCCTCTCCCTCTGCAATTCAGATCTTATAGAACTCTGCTACTACGTCTAGCTTAGTGAACTACTTAGCAGCGCTAACAGTCTATAGCATCTCTTAAATTAAAGGAAGAAGGTGTTAGTCACACCTTATAAGTTTGTTAAGGGCGTGGTAGTTAATATAAAAACATATCCCTCCACTTAGTTTATATATAAACAGTATTAAGGCTAATACTTCTAAGCTATTAGCGCAGATAAAGTCCTTATTTAGTAGGTCTTATAAGGTCTTATAGAGGATAAGAAGCTCTTCTTATAATATGCTATAGAGCAGCCCCTATAGTAGTATAGCCTTATTACTGTTGCTCTCCTGTTTGATAGGGATTATATAGTTAACTCCAGGGCGATGCAGAGGAAGGTTAGCAGCTTTATTAGGTTAGAATAGCTCTCAGAACTCAGCTAGTATAGCTAGTAGAAGGAGGGCCTTTAGGTCTGCCTTCTCAGTCTTCTTTATAAGAGCCTTCTATATATCTGCTAAGCTGATCGCTCAAACTTCATATCCTGTAGTTCCTTTGGTTTGTTATTATGCCCTCTTATAGAGCGTTGCAAAAGGGGCTCCTAAGAGGAGGCAGGCAGCCTTAATCTGGCGTACTTACTCTAGCTCTTCTTCGCCTTTCAGACGTAAGTCTACACCACCCCTCTTATGCTATATATGCTAGGCAGCAGCATTATATAATATATAGTTCCTCTCTATCTAGGGTTTCCCTAAGAATAGGTTGTCACTAAGGCTATATATAGTATATATAAAGATCTTCTTATTATAACTATATAGCTTAAAGTTAAAAATAACTACACCTATTGCTTTTATAGCGCTTATAATATCGCTAAAGCTGCTTAGTACCTACTTAAAGCAGTTTATTATTAGTAGGTGGAGCTTATAGGTAAGGTTATAGTTGATAAGGGCGTATAGGTTACACTTAGTATCTATTAAGGCGTCTGCTTAAATACCTTTATATATATAGGTAGTAATTACTACTAACTTACTGCTTATGCGATACTTAAACTGCTTCTATTCTATGATATCACTAAGCTTTACCTCTAACGCCTAACATTGTATTAGAGTTACTCTTTTCCTAAGCTCTCTTCAGCTTTAGAGCTTCCTAGCTCCTCTATAGCACTATTATTACTGCTTTCTTCAGGCTTAGGAGCCTTCTTAACCTTCTTAACCTTCTTAAGGCTAAGATGCTTCTGCTTAGGGCACTATATAGTAATATAGCTGATCTGGTTACAGTTGAAGTATTTGCAGTTATCCCTTATAGGTTATAGCAGGTCTTCAGATGAGGAGGAGCTGCTATGTTAGCGATATGACCTTACCTTCTCCTTACCCTTAGTGCAGCTAATGCCAGACATCACCACATCTCCTTCTGCATCTTATTAGCTAGCCTATAGTGCTCTTAGGTGAGATAGGGCGTGTTTAGACGCCTGTTGAGGTAGGCGTTCTAGCCTAAAAGCAACACCTTAGACCTGCAAAAGCTATTCGTAGTAGTTTTTAAGGGGAAGTTCGACAGTGACTAGGGCCCTCTTAAGCCTTACGCTTCAAGCTTCCTCAAGGAGGGTTATCTTTGCTCAACTAGGCTAGTCAGCCCCTCCAGCTTCTGCTAACATCTGTTCAAACCAGGGTAGGAAGGAAGCTAAAGCTTAGTCCTCTTACTAGCGAAGGGTTTATAGGGTTGAGGCAGCTTAGTTATATACGTTTAAGTCCTTATATATTCAGTCTAGGTAGCTTAAGAACTCCTAAAGGTTATATATAGGCCCCCTAGACCTCCTGCTGCATAGAAGGTGGCTATAACTTGCTGAGGCCTATAATTAAGGCAGGAGTAAATATAGTATTAAATATCCTTATTACTACTAATAAATCTCCTATCCAGCTATATCTTATTCTATATCTGCTGGGATTATGCTATATATTCCTTACGCCTTCCTATAAACTTCAGGGGATCTAGCAGGGGCTTCCTTCACCCTTCAGCTGCCATTATTCAATCGTTACTTATTACCTATATAGTTATATCAGCAGTAGATAGGGTTAATATACTGCTCATAAGCAGCATAAGGGTTGCTCTATCTGTTGATATAAGCCTGTTTAGAGCTGTTAAGAGCTGCGTTATCTAGTCCTAAAGAGGATATATACTTACGTTAACTGCTTCGTTAACCCTGCGGTTAATCTCTACGTTCATCACATCGTTTATGCTACCCTCTAGCGAATCTATTATGTCGCACTTATGAGGTTTTATATAGCGTCTTCTCGTTATGCTACCCTCTAGCGAATCGTCATATCGCTCTTATGAGGTTTCATATAGCGTCTTTTGTTATTAAGCTTAGAATATGTAAAGGGCTAGCCCCTAGGCTTGTTTAACATAGAGGTGCTGTCGATTAACTATTCTAAGCTGAAGAAGGAAGAAAGGACTTTATAAGAGTAGGCACCTAACAGCAGTGAAGCAGACCGGGTTAGGCGGTGTACCGCGGCAGAGTAGTGGGTCTAACAGAGCTGGATCTTGGTAACTGCTCCGGCAAAGCCGGAGATATCAATACGGGCTCTAGCCCGTGACACCTCTACCGTCAAAAGGGCGACCCATTATTGTGCAAGATTTTGGGAGTCAGAAAGAGAAGAAAAGTGATTAGTTTGGCTTCAACAGGCTTTATGATTCATATTGAGCCACCATATTGAAGAGCTCATGTTGGTCTTTATACGCCAAGGCAGCAATAGACCGCAGAGCAGGACTGATGAAGAGGCCCCCGCAGCTCGCACTCGCTACAGTCGACCGGCACTGATATCCGACCATTACCTTACATCCTAATCGAAGTGGAGGGACGTATTGTAAAAAAAAGAATCCTCTATCTTGATACCGCAGCAAATGGGTCTCGATTTGCTGCCATTGTCGTGTAAGTGCTTCTCAACAACCCCGGCTCAGCTGAAGTCTTCGCCGGATGTAGTGGGCTTCACGACACCAAGAAGGCCTCCCGCGTACCGCCGTAGAGAGGTTGGAATGATTTGTTCAAAGTCGTGTTTGCAGGGATGAAATATGGAGCAATACGGGCGGGTCTTCGTTCACAAAGACTCGAGATGTTCATTAATGCTCTGCATAAATACGAGACTAAACCAAATGGGGTGGGCGTCTCGACGTGGAACCCAGGTTGTGAAAGAGCCGGGATGTTGGAGCCAACGCCGTTCTTCCGACGCTTTTCGGCGTAGCAACGGCCCCCAAACACAGCCACCAACAAGAAAGAAAGCACTGACGCACCGCCATTTGGTCTGTCTGCTTCGACATTATCTCCAGTCCCCGCGCCGAGTCAAGGAGAACATTCATCGGTGAGGGACTTTCGACCGGCGGACCACAGTCCCCCACGGCCAGGTGCCCAAACTCAGATCATATTGTCTGGCCAGGTCCCGATCATGGTCTTCTCCGGCCGGCCATCAGACGCGTGCTACCCCTGTCGCAAGGGAAGACTCCGGGTTCGTACTCCATCCCCCATCATTTCCCGTCCAAACCCCCCTTTCGCCTACTGGTCCGCTCGTATCCTCGGGCTTCAACCGGTCAGGTCAGCCCTACGATGGTGGCAACGCACCACTTCCGCAGTGCGCATCGCCGCACTTCGCACATAACCGACCGAGAGACGCAAAGAGGGCCAAGGCTAACGTTGTTCCTTTTTCGTTCCCGTTCCGCAGTGTGATCGGATCCAGCCCGGATGTACTCAGTGCTCCCGCAAGAACATCACCTGCCCCGGCTACAGGGATCTTTCAGACTTCTTATTTCGGGATGAGACAGCGAACGCCGCCTTGAAGGTACAGAACCGGAAGCCGAGAAGGCGCCACGAGGCCAAGGTTCGGCCGCAGCCGTCGGCGGATGCGTCGTCCTCTCAACTGAAACTTCCTCAACGGCAACATGCAGAGGCGGTCGCGTCGACGTCGGCGGCGGCGGCGGCGGCGAAAGCGGCCGGCGCCGCTTCCCATGCCGCTCGGAAGTTGAATACTGCTTTCAGATCGCCCGCAGATCCCTCCTCCGAGGTTGATGTATCTGTAGTTCGTTATCGGAATGTTTCGACCCCTATCGAAGACCTTGCCCGCACATATTTCATGGTCGAATACATCGCATCCTCGCCTTTCGAGTACCTACCTAAACTGTATCCCCACGGGTTGAATGAGCAAAATGCCATGTCGGCCGCCATAATGGCCGCCTCCTTCGCTAGCCTTGCCCTCAAGTGCTCTGATGGGAATCTCATGAAGCAAGCGCGAATGCACTACGCCAAAGCACTCTGCCAAACCAACAAATGTCTCAGTTCCACAGACCTTGCCGTCCAGGACTCAACGCTCGCTGCCGTTCTTCTACTGGGCCTTTTCGAGGCAATTGTCTTCACAGGCCAGCAGTCTCTCGACAGCTGGAACGCCCACACCGTCGGGGCCGTGGAGCTTCTCCGCCTGCGTGGACCCAAGCAGCTGGAGACGCCTCTCGGGCGCACCCTCTTCCTCCACTCAGGTGGCAATATCCGGACTAGCTGTGCGCATACCAAGAGAGCGGTTCCTCCTCGACTCCTGCAGCTTTTTGAGAGTGCGAAGCCGATGCTGGATCTCAGTGATCCGTTTCTCATGACAGCTCCGATTGTCGACCGAGTGGCTAGTTTGAGGTCAAGGATAGAGCGCGTCCATGACCAAAACAGACGAGACCTAGTATGGGAGGCACTGGATCTGGACATCGAGACTTTGAGGCTTGGTCAAGGTGTTGCAGAGGACTGGAAGTTTACAGCGAGGCTTCCGGGGCAGAGTTCACGCTTGACGTACAAGGGCATTTCGCTTCGGTACCCGTCTCTGCGAGCTCTGCGATATTGGAACGCCCTTCGGATCATCCGCATGTTCCTTAACGATCTTGTCTGGGTGCAGTCTTCCAAGATTCTCCAGCAGGGCCCTGACCTAGACGATGAGACCGACTATGAGGAGCTTCAGACGTCTGCCAAGAGGAACATGTCGACGCTCGTGGTCGAGGTACTCGCCAGTTGCGGTGAGTATCTCGAGCCGGCCGAAGAAAGATTCTCTGTTTCAGCCCGCTGCTTGATCTGGCCGCTGTCAGTCATCGCTGAAGTCTCCATCACGCCGCCCGATGCGCGCCAGTTTGCTACCGACTGTCTTGAACGGCTTGGACGGGACTGCCGAATCCCAAAAGCTGCTGACATGACGACGAGCTTGCTGTCAATTCAAGGAGCTGACTGGTATGTACCAATTTAGCCGAGCTGCACGTCGCCCTTGTTGAGTTTTCACCCAGGCTTCACTTGTATCACCTTGCATAACATTCAAGCATCATTGCATTTTTCTCTGGTTGTTGAAGTCATCTCACACCTTCATTAGAACGGTCTACAGCGATAAACAGCTTCGAGCTGACATATTTACATCTATCCTCTCCCAACGTCGACCTAGCTTGAGGCACAACCGGGGCAGCCTCTATTCCCAGCTCACAGCTCTCGACTCCACCTCCCCTGGATCACTACCTTATTATATGCGCACTCGTTATGGCAAATGTCAGGCTTTGGGGTGAGCTGTTTGAGATATCGGAGGCACTGCGCTCCCGTACACGTGTCCACCGGACGCATTGTGATGCATAACCATTTGCGCGATGCTGTGGTCCGGTGCGGGATACTTCTCACCGACAGCATTCCTGCGCTTCTTCTTGATCTGGAAGTAAAGCGTCAAGCCAGCTATGAGCAAGCTAGGTATTCCGACGCCCAAGCTCGCGGCGAGTGCGACAATATCCGACCGGCTGAGCCCTCCGCTATCCGCCGCTGCCGATGGCTGTTGTGCTTCGGCAGACGACGTGCTGCTTGAGTCGAGCCTCAAAGTCTGCGTTGGCGGTCGCGCAGTACGAGCCGTACAGATCCAGCATGCTTGTCAGATCGACTGACCAGTTTTCGACTTTGCTGCATCCCCTGCTGACCCAGCCCAGTGTTGCAGTAGCAGCCGTTGATGGATTGGCAACCACATTGCAAAGCAACCCCGAGGTCTTGATACCCGCCGACCCCGCAAGGATAGGCGCCATTGTACACGAGGCAGCCAGCTGCGCAGGCTCGCGCGGTCGAGTATGCAATTTCCGAAAAGATGCTGACCCTTGCGAGGGCACCTGTGGTGGTTGCGGCCAAGGTGAGGGGAGCCAGTAAGAGGAGACTAGCCATCGTCAAGGGTGCCGACGATGGTGTTCGAGGGCTCTCCCGTGGAACCATGATCAGCGATTCTGCTGCGGGAGTTTGTTGGACTGGTCTCGACAGTCAAATGGAGGGTTCAGGCGCAATGTGGTGGGAATGTTGGGTATTCTTGGAGTTTTGAGTTGACAGGAGGGCTATCGTGTTCCGCAAGGGGCACCCAAGGTCCTCAACCGTCGCGGTCTCTATATCAAATGGAAAATTCAGCGCCATCTTCGTGCCACTTTGTTCGTCTCTATAAGAGACCAATGTGATTAAAGAAAACAGGTAGCATGCGAGGGGCTGAATGCTGGCGATCGTGGCGACACTAGGCCGTTTAGGGCCGAACTCCGACAGCCCGCAGCGAGTCGAGATGGGCAGCTGAAGGCTTGACATGACCATCAGAGTACGTCTTGGCCGTCTGAAAAGACATAGGGTTGTGGTAATCCTTGGGCGGGTTGTTCAAAGTCCCAAGCCAGGCTCGAACTGTAGATCCAACGGCATGGCATCGAGTGTGTTTGCGAGCTCCAACGCCGATGCCATCGGCCAGTCCCAAACATTCCATTGCAACTGGTCAAGCACCGGTGGCTGGGCTTCTTTCGACGAGAATGTCTTTATTTGGAGCATGTCCAGTACGTCGGCGCATTGTGTAATGTAGCCGTTGGCATCGTCCGCTCTCAGGTGGCGCAAGGTCGTCGCGCATGTCCTGACTAAATCCTCGTCCTCTTCGTCCGTGGTAATTGGCTGGCCCTTCCATCTAGCGAAGAGAATAGTCAGCCCGGCTTGCCAAAGCATGTGCATACCATTTGGGTAAAGGTGCGCGATGATGACGGCGTCCAATCTTCGAGGGGTGGTCTCGTCGCCAATTCCTATCGCAAATAGACGGATGAGCTCCGCAGAGGCACGGCCACAAGCGATGAGAGAGACCGAAAACTGCGGGTCAGACGTTGTGAAAGCCAATGCTGGTCGGTGAATATGGACTGTTGCGTTGCAGAAGGCGGCGCGCAGGAAGGCAACTTCAAATATGTCAATGTTGACTGCTGGAAGCAGGTCTCCCCCATCGTCTTCGGCATCGGTCAGTTTCTCAGTCGGCAACATCCGCTCCCACATAGTGAGCTCTGTTTGCAATTGCATCATCTTGGCTACGCCACCGCGTCGACGAGTTGTCGTGTACAGCTTTTCCAGAGCTTCTCCGACAATGACTGCGAGCTTGAACATGCACAAGGCCGTGTCAACCTGGGATCGCTCACCCGGAAGAGGGAAGGCAACACTTTCGCGTGATACTTGGTCATGGTCTACGCGTGAAGGAAGATCGGTGTCCACGTCTTGGTCACGTATTAGTCGCGGCATTCCATGATAAGCACTCGAGAATCTGACGGAGGTGTTAGCAATTGGCTAAGATGAGTGGGAGAGGGCTACCAACGCGTCGAGAGAGTACTGGCACCACCAGACGCGGCGTCGCAGCTCTGTCTCTAAAGGATCGAATTTAAATCGCTGAGAGTGTCGATGGAGTCCGAGGCTCTGCGCCATGCGTGTTGCCATGCCACCAAGTTGAGATGCGACTGAGTACCGGGACGAAAGTTGGAGGTAAATCTGAGCAATCTCCAGTCCCTGTAGCGTTGGTAACGAGGGTCTCTCATGCAGCTTGCTCGTCAGAGTTGCAGACATGTGGTAGTACTTCTCAGACAAGCATAGGAAGTGCTCGTGGGCCTGAGTGCAAGTCCCCGGAAGACCCAGAGTTCCCAAAGCCAGAAGCCCTAGAACCTGGTGCAGAATACTGAGATCAGCATTCTCCGGATCGTCTCGAAGTCTGTGAAATGCTTCTAAAGTGGAATGCTTGTGTACGATGGGATAAAGCGGTGTCCAGCGATCAATTATGGCCTCGAGGATATCGGCAGCGTTATGAGGAAACTGACCAACCATCGCAGCAATCAATTGCGCCTCGGAATCTTTCGGCGGGGTACCCCAGATGTTGTGTAAGTACAGGCTATATACGCTGCTTGGAAACGTGTCGGTGTGTATCCGGAGCATCTGGAGCTGTTGCTCAGCTTGACTGATGAAGTGAACCCCAGTCGAAGACCCGGCGAACATGGCGATCTGATCATCGTTGGAGACCAGTCGGCCCATGTGGCCGATCACAGGCTCAGGGCCCTGTCTTGACCTCGCGATCGATATCATGTCTGCACGACGTGGCCATGTTGATGTCGATCTGTCGGAACCATTCGATATTAAAACGCTTGGCTGGGATTGCCCAACCATGCGCGATTGTGAAGGTTCTGTTGGATTCAAAGTCGAGTCCACCACACCGGCCGCTGAGTCGGGGGTTCTCACCGGAGCCGACCCGCTCCGTCTTTCATCAACGACTTCATTCTCGTAGTAACTTGAAAGCCATCAGCATGAATTCTGCAGCTAGAAAAAGCTGATCCTTAGGTACCTTTTTCTTTTTCGGTTGCGCTTCAGCTTTGTTGATACCACACAGGCGACACCGCCCACGGTGCAGGGCGTGCACTGCAGGTGGATGCGTCAGTCAAATCGACAGATGGCTCTCGGGTTGCTGCAGCGGTCCGCGGGAATAGCTCACCTTCTCCCCATCCCCATAGCAGCGGATTTTTCGTCTGCAAGTGTGAAGGTATGTCAGTGGGTTAGGTTCCATTGCCCATTGGCGCTATTTCGATCGAAGACGCATTCAACAGTTGGTCCAATACATACCGCCGACAGCGGTCACTGCGGTGGTACAAGTCAGCAGACGGTAAATTTCTCAAGCGGCGGAGCTCTCACCAAACTTGTCCAGATTGCGCTCCGCCCGGGGTTTCCTGTCCATTCATGCTACCGGCGCCGTCGACATCATCAGTCTAAGGAGTCTCAAACTCTTTCAAGTCCATATGCTTGCGAAAGTGCATGAGGGAAGTCGCGCGCGCATGCTCCGTCGGTGATGATGCGATGTTGTGGAGAAGATTCAGGATGCGCCGCCCACAGCGGAAATTCTGCAGTGGTGTTCCCGCATGACTCGGTTAGTTGCATAGTGCTGGGTGACCCAACACAGCACATCCCGCCTAAGAGTGCCATTCCCCGTTGAGCAACGTCATAATAGTCCATTTCATAGTCCAAACGGACTCTTCATCCCTTCAAGTTCAGTGACAAAAAATTCGCATTTACGTGCAAGGAAGCTGTTGAGCGTTTGCAAGAACGATAAGAGAATCGCCAAGTACGTAGGCAAATACAGGGGTGTGAGAGATGCAACGCTAGGCGTCCAAAGAAAGGACGATACTATCTTTTCAAAACCCGAGGTTTTCATGGACGAATGAAACAATCCAAAACGTTTCTCGAGATCTTTCAAATGTAGTTCTAGCCCGTGAATTGTGTGGCAGAACTCGGTCTCAAGACGCGAACACGTTTATGGTGTGAACACCGTTGGACGGTATAAGACAACTAATGGATATGGATTCTATATTGGTATACGCCTTCGCCATGAATTGATGATCACTTTTTTACTTCCAATCTCCCTTCCAATTATCTAATGTGTGCCATTTGTGGTTTTGCCATTGCCATTGACTTGAACAGTCTTCTGTCCCAGGAGCTCGTCAAGCATCAGTTGACAGCATCCCAAGTACTTGGTGGGATCGCACAGCTTGGAGAGATCCGTTGAGGCAAGGTGTGCTGTAACTTGTGATGACTTCTCCAAAGCCTCTTGCAAGGAAATACTGTTCTCATGAGCCTCGACACAGGCCTTGTAGACAATCTCATGTGCCTCTTGGCGACCAGTGTACTTAGCCAGGTCCATCATCACAGCTTCAGCGACGATCAAACCACGCGTAGACTTCAGGTTGGCCAACATGGCATCCTTGTTGACTTGCAGGCCAGAAAGAGCGAACTCAGCCTGGTGAAGAGAACCAACAATGGAGATGAATGCAGTGGGGATGGCAGCCCACTCCAAGTGCCAAGGGCCAGATGCTCTCTCAAAATCGGAGACCATACCATCCAGTACCAGGCCGGCCTGGGCACGGAGAATCTTGGACTGCGCGAGGATGACCTCGCTGGAGATGGGGTTGCGCTTCT